CCGTGTAGGTTCTCCAAAGATAGTGTTATGAGAACAGACAAGCACGCAGGATACATGTCTGCAAAAAGAGATCTCCTGACGAGCTCCTGCCTGCCAAGCATCAGCAAGACACTTTCTTTTGCTGAATTACCTACTTAGAGCTATTCTGAGACTTTGCCATCCCAGCACTCAAGTCCTGAACCCTGAATTCAGAATAACATCTGCAATTTTATCATTAAACAGGCTAAAACCAGATCAAAAGTTCAAGAAATCCAAACACCTGTGTATGAATTACAGTGTTTTCCCAACCAGTGGTTCCCAGCTCTTCTACCACGAACGAGCAGAAGACGGCTTGTTCATATGACCATCATCCCCACAGATGTAGCTGGAAAGATAAATGCACCGCACACTCCACTTTTTCACTCCTCTTAAACTGGTTAGAATGAAGATACAGCATCACAGCAACTACTTCAAGGCCTCTCTATTCTATGAAAACAACAACTTTTTGCAAATACTTAATGTTATTTGTTCTCAGCGTGGTTGAGTCAGCCCCTGACTCATGGTATCCACAGGCTCTGGGTCAGTAGCTGTCAACCCTAGCTGCACTTGGCCTGGACCCTACCCAGACATCCTGATTGCAATGCTCTGGGGCAGATCTCTAGTGGCGTAGTGATTAAAGCATTCAGCTGCCAACCAAAAGATGAGTGGCTAAAACCTACTAGCTGTTCCACAGGAGAAAAATGTGGCATTCTGCTTCTATAAACATTTACACGTTGGAAATCCTATGGGGCAGTTCTACACTGTCCTACTGGGTTACTACAAATCAGAATCAACTTGACAGCAGTGAGTTTGTGGGGCAGACCTCTGGCATCTGTATTTTGGCAAAGCTCCTCAGGACTGCAAACCCAGATTTCCAGCTGCCCTCTGCCTTGCTGCCATCTCAGAGTGAAAGTTCTCCTCCTGGTTAGAATGAAGGTAGAGCATCACAGCGACTACTTCAAGGCCTCTCTATTCCATGAAAACGACAACGGCGATGAAATGAGATGTGTGTGTAAGTGTTTTGCAAACCCTACACTTACTATTCTACCATGCAAAGATTCACTGTCATCCTCCTCCTCCAGTCAGGAATGTTAACAAATATAAATAAAGCTGTGCTCTAGTCCAATCGCATGCAAATGATTAGATTTTCAGAGGTGTTTGGTCTGCATAAGATCTCTCAGAATTAGAGCCAATACTCCAAAATGCCTCTTTATTGGTCCAGCCCTGTCCAAGGGAGCAGACACGGTGCCAAGCCACGCAGACGCCAGGAAGAGCCAAGCCAAACAGTCCTTCAGTCATTTCCAATTACTTGCTTCTAAGAACACGTTATCACTGCAGCAGTGCACTTAACTCAACATTGGTTAAAAACATGTGTGGGCCTATGTCCATGCTCATATTGGAGTGTGTTCTCAACCACACACTCAAATGCACAACTTTCAAAACATAAGTATCCTGCACACAAGTTTTAGCAGCATTTCAAGACTAAGTAAGAAGCCAGGCCTGAAGAAGTGCTTCAGAAAATGAGCCAATGAAAACTCAACAGATCTCAACAGTTCAATCAACAATCCAGTATCCAGAAGCATTTTGTTCCATTGTGCATGGGATCATCATGAGTCAGGAGGGTAACTCAACAGCTAAAAAGTTGAGGCACAAAATGCTATCAGACTTCAAACCACAAGGTCAGCAGTTCAAACCCACCCTATACAGGGTCACTATGAATCAGAACCGATTCAACAGCCCTTAACAACAACAAATCCCAAAACAAGAAGTTCTGGTAGTATTGTGAATTATGAGCTGAGCTGCTAATCACAAAGTCAAGCCGTTCCAATCTACCATCTGCTCTGTAGGAGAAAGAAAAGGTTTTCTGCTCCCATAAAGATTTATAGTCTTGGAAACCCTATACAGGGTTGCTATGAGTCAGAACTCACTCCATGGCACAGAACCACCACCACCATCTCAAGGTAGTAGCAGGTTTGGGGGTGACTTTTCTTTTTTTGCTTCTTGACTAAACATACATTACTTATGTAATTTAAGTAAGTATATAAATAATCCCACCAAACTCCCAAGAAGAAGAAAGGGAAGAAAATATCTCAGTTCTAGACCAGCTCTACCCCATAAATTGTGTAACTGTGGGGGCGTGGCTTTTCCTCTGCTTTGACTGGCTGCTCCCTCAGGGCCTTCCTGCTTCCAATATTCAAGGACCTAACCACCCTCCCGGAGTCCTGGTGTAGTGCAGCAGGATAAGATCACATGGTCATCAGTTCAAACCCACCAGCTGATCCTAGGAAACCCTATACAGGATCGCTAGGAGTTGAAACTGACTTGATGGCACTTAACAACAAGCACCCTCCCTCTAAAGAGCCCTAGTGCAAAAGCATTTAGGTGCTCAACTATGAACAGAAAAGTGAGAAAGATGTCCATAGTTTACAGCTTTGGAAACTCCACAGAGCAGTTCTACTCTGTCCTATCGGGTCACAATGGGTCGGAATCGACTCACTAGCAATGGGTTTAACCATCCCTCTGAAAGAAACCCTGGTAGCACAACAGCTAAATGCTTGGTTAATAACAAAAAGTTGGAAGTTCCAAGCTACCCAGCGCTTCCATGGGAGAAAGACTTGGTGATCTGCTCCTATAGAGATTGCAGCCAAGAAACTCCTATGGGGGAGTTCTACTGTGCCACATGGAAGAGGTCGCTATGAGCTGGAATTGACTCTATGGTACCCAACAGCAACCACCCTGCTTATTCATTCAACCTTCAAGGAAACTCTCCTCACTGTGAAGCCACAATTGGCCATTCCTGTTTCCTAGTCTGAATTTCGAGACCCTGATTAGCTCTACACTCCTATATAATTCATCATAAAAGTCAGTCTCACACCTGGCCCTAACCTACAGACCAAATCAAGTTTATGCTCAAGGACTGGCCTGCTGAAACCAACACTGCTCACAAGCCCACCTTTCTCTCTAGCTGGGCCAGAATACCTCTGACAGGCCCTGCTGCAGGAACTAAGGGCAGAAGGCATTCACACTCCTTATCACGCTGTGTTTGGATTACCTTCCCAGGGTCAATGCAACAGCAGGATCTATAAGCCAATCCTGATAGGACACAGTGCAGCTGTGTCACCATGGAGACTGGATACCACAAGCCCCACAGTGTTTCACAAGGAAAGTCACAACCTCAGACAATAAAGGAAGTTGGATCCTGGAAAATTCCTCGCTGACTCTCCAGAGCAGCCTCCTGAGTATTTTCTTGGCAACAAAGAAGGGAGAAAAAGACTTCTAAGAATTGAGTACACCGTGTGTTCCCAGGCATGGTGCTAGTTGTTAATTCAGAGCTTATATTATTTCTAATGATTCCCTATTTTACAGATGGGAAAACTGAGGCAGAGAGAGAATAAGTCACTTGCTCAACACCACAGAGCTGGTACCGCAAGAGCCAGGATCTCAGTTCATTTGGGCTGTGCTCCTTCCCCTAAATCTTGCCTGATTGAAACCTTAAGGTGTCAAGGAGTTTACACAAATATTAAGTCATTTGGGTGAAGTGGGAAACGCTACCAACCTCAACAAAGATTTACTCAAATATAATAGCAGTGAAAAGGCCTCAGGCAAAAGCACGAAGAAGGAAGCGAAACCACACCAAATAAAATCCACTGCTGTTGAATTGATTCCAACTTATAACAACCTTATAGGATTGAGTAGAACTGATCCACAGGGTTTCCAAAGCTGTAAATCTCTAAGGTCTACGGACCTTTTGGTTAGCAGCTGGATGCCAAAACTAAGGAGTGCAGTGATGTTCAAATTCATGCAAACTTTGAAGATTGGAGCAGAAGTGAGGCCTCCTCATTGGGGTATTCATCCTTGCCCCCACAAAAGATCTATAGAGCAGATCCCCTAAAGCCCTGAAATCAGCATGGTACCAAGGAGGCCAGAAGGGTCACTTTCCAGCCGGGGGTGGGGGGACCTTAGGGGAATCACCTACCCTCTCTGAGCTTCTCTGCATACTTGGGAGCAGGAAGAGCATGGAGGGGGAAAAGAGCGGCAGATGTATGCAGCACACACATTAGGCTGTCCACACTGGCTCCTCCAGGGACACCCCCTCTGGGTCCTCTTTTCCTTAAAGACTGTAAGGAGGGGGCTCACCTCCTGGCCTTCCTACTGCCATCTTGCTTCCTTGTTCCTGGCCCACACAGAGGACAATGACTCGCCCAACTAGCAGCTCCAACAGGAACTAGGCCTTCTGATCACACAAGCTTGGGTCCAGCACCACACACAGCCAGGAGGAACCCTTGCCACCAGCCGCTCTTGTCTACCTTCCTTCTTGAATCCTGTGGCTTGGGCTTTCAACCACCTTTTCCTTCACCTGCTGGGCCCTCCCTCCCAACGTGGCCCATTCGCTGAGCTGGCACACACAGATGAATAAACTGGGAGTCCTGGTGTGGCGCTGTGGGCGAATGTGTCAGACTACAAAGTCTTTTGAACTGCAAGGTCGGTGGTTTAAGCTCACCAGTTGCTCCTTGGGTTGAATCGACTAGATGGCACTTAACAACAACATCCCTGCGCCCAGGAGTCATGGCACAAAGAGCCAGAGCAGAGTGGGGTTATACTGGAGTGCTCCGGAGGCAGTCAAAGGGAGAGAGACTCAACAAAATCTATCTGCGTACCCCCCCCCACACACACACACACAACCCACCGTTTACGGGGCAAAGACCACTTAGTAACAGATTCGTCCATTTCTGAGATCTAACATTTTTTCCTTCACTTTCTTGCCTCTCCGCTGCTCTCCCCATCCCAGTATGAATCCCTACACTGCCCACTTCCGATCAAGACTCACTAAGATGCCATTCAATATATTTTGCCACTCAACCTACGAGTTGGAACGGACTGAGCGGCACTTAACAACAACAACAGATAGAGAAACTGAGGCCGGAGGAGGAAAAGACGGCGACTCCGAGTCCAGTGCTCCTCCTCCCAGCCAGAGGACTCACAGAGGGTTCCTGCGCTCTGGCAGGCGGCGGTGCAGCGAGATGCGATCGCTGAGGTAGATGTTGATCTGATGCCGTTGTACGCTCTCTTCCTGGAGCCGCAGCTCCTCGCCCTGCAGCTGCAGCCGCACCGCCTGGCCCTGCGCGCCGAGCGCATCCGCGGGCACCAGGGGCCGCAACAGGGCCGGGTCACGCCTCCCGGGGCGCTGGGTGCGTTGGGGTCCCGGCTCGGCCGCCCTGGTCCCGCGCCGAGTTCGCAGCACCGAGCCCAACCCGACCAGCGCCAGCAGCGCTAAGAGTGCTAGCAGCGCAGCCCGGCCGCGCCGCAGCCCCCGCGGGCAGCGCCGCCGCACTGCACGCCCCCACATACGCCCGCCAGCTGTAGCCAGCGGTCTGCGCGCCCACGCCGGCCGCCGAGACAAGATCCGGATTCCGGAACCGTCGCACCGTTCCGCCCCGCCCCCGGTCCGCCCCACCTGCGCCCCGCCCCCTTTCTCGCCCCGCCCCCGCGCCCGCAGGAGTACAGCTCCCCCCCAAACCTGGAAGTGGGCTAATATTTCTTGGGGACCCACGCTGGTTTACTAAGATGTGCATTTCCTTGTGCTGAGGTGGATTTTTAAAAGCTGTTAGGTGTCGTCCTGGAGTTGATTTGAACGTAAAGTGATCCTGTGTGACAGAGACTTGCTCCTTAGGGTTGAGTGGCACTGTAGGGTAAGCGCTGGAATGCAGTGCAATGAATGAGGCTGTCTGTTCCCGTAAGGATTTACAGGCTCAGAAACCATATTTAGGGCTACTATGATTCGGAGTTTATTCAATGGCCGTGAATTTGGTTTTGGTTTTGAATTTTATGGGAGCAGATTGCTTTGTATTTCTTCTGAGAAATTGCTGGGTGGACTTGAAGCCCCAACCAGTCGATTAGCAGCCTAACCATAACACCACCATGACCCCTAAAGTAACACCTGTAAAACCCTACCTCAGGGCCTGGCACATGGTAAGCGCTCTGTAAGTATTAGGGGAGAGAACTCCGCAGGATGCTACATTATTTTACAGCCAAGTTCACCCTAAGTTGGTTTCTAGTGGACTAAACAAACCCACTCAGGGCCATCAAATCATCAAGATGCTGTACAGGGTTTTCAAGGTTTTAAATTTTTGTGGGAGAAGAAAGCTTCATGTTTCTCCAATGGAGCTGCTAGTGGGTTTGAACTGCCCACCTTGCAGTTAGCAGTCCCATGCTTCTTATCCTGCAGTGCCATTAAGGCTCCTTATTCAGTGGAAGGCAATAGATTTTACCTCATCAGATCCAACAAAAAGGGTACTAAGATTATGAACTCCCATTTTCTAGATGAGGAGACTGAGGCCCAATGAGATTTTTTTTTTTTCGCTGAGGTCTGCATAATCATACTATTTGGAGCCTCAGCTAGTAACCCTAGATCCTGTTTGTCCACAGCTGATAGCTCATCTTACAGATGGTGACTCCATGAAACTGAAACTGACTAAACTACTTCCTCAGAAAAACACCCAAATGCACACTTATAATATGACCACACATACCGCAGCCCAGACCTCTTTAACATGTTAAAAAGCAAAGATAGCACTTAGAAGACTAAGGTGCATCTGACCTAAGCCATGGTATTTTCAATCACCACATACCCATGTGAAAGTTGTACAATGAGCAAGGAAGAACACAGAAGAACCAATGCATTTGAATTATTGTGTTGGAGAAGAATTTTGAAAGTATCACGTACTGCCAGAAGAACAAACAAATCTGTCTTGGAAGAAGTACAGCCAGGATGCTGCTTAGAAGCCAGGATGGCGCAACCTTGTCTTTCATACTTTGGACATGTTCTTAGGAAGGAACAGTCCCTGGAGAACTATATCGTACTAGGTAAATGGAGAGTCAGTGAAAAAGAGGAAGACTCCCAAATGAGATGGATTGACATAGTGACAGAAAAAGTGGACTCAAACCTAACAATGGTTAGAATGGTGGTAGGACCGGACAATGTTTCATTCTATTGTGCACTATGAGTCAGAACAGAGTCAATGGTACCTAACAGCAACTCCAGCCCATGTGCTTATGGTAAGAGCCCCTGGGCTTGGCTAAAGGTTACCTTTAGCAGTAGAGGTGGGCTTGAGGGATAAAGGGAGCTTGCTGGGATGCTTAAAATATTTAATAGAGTTAGGGATAGAGTGAGGCATGAGGTCCTAACCTAGCTGCAAAATTTAAAGGAGCACCAAAAAGTAGTTGCTGTGGAGTCCTTTCGATTCACAACAAACCCACATGTGCAGAGTAGAACTAGCTGCTCCATAGCATCTGGGCCTTTCAGAAGCAGATCTCCTGACTGGTCTTCCCAGGTGCCTCTGGGTGGGTTTGAACTGCTAGTAGTCTAGTGCTTAAATGTTTGCACCACTTTTTTTTTTCCCTTTTCCCTTCTCTTTTTGTGTTTAACTGTCATCCCATCACCCGAATTACCTCACTCTGTTGTCTTAGTTAAGTGCCGTTCAAGTCAGTTTCAATTCATAGAGACACCGTAGAGGGTTTCTGAGGAGCAGCTGGTGGGTTTGAACTTCTGATCTCGCAGTTTTAGCAATCTAGTGCTTATCCTACAGCGCCTCACCAGGACTCCTTAGCCCTAATTCTCCCTTCCCTCCCACCCCTTGACTCGCCCTAGGAGTGACTGGTAGATTCGAACTGCTGATCTTGCGGCTAGCAGCCCATAAAGATTGTTGTTAAGTGCCGTTGAGTCAGTTCTGACCCATAGCAACCCTATATAGGGTTTCCAAGGAGTAACTGATGAGCTTGAACCACTGACTTTGCGGTTCAAACCGAATTTGCAGTCCAGCACATTAACACGTAGCAAAAAAAAAAAAAAAAAAAAAAAACCCTATACACAGTGGCTATGAGTGGCTATGAGTCAGAACACACTCGGTGGAACACAACCACCGCCACCAATGGCTAATGATCATGAGCATTTCTTCATATGTTCATTGGTCACCTGAATGTCTTCTTTGGTGAAGTCCTCTGCCTATTTTTAAATTGGATTATTTGTCTTCTTGTTGAAGCGTTGAAATGCTCTATAAGTTTTAGAGAATAGTCCCTCTGGGGTCTGATATGTCATTGCCAAAAAATTTTTCCCAAACTGTGGGTTCTCCTCTTACTTTTTTTGTGAAATCTTTTGATGCACTTAAGTGTCTAATGTCTAAGAGATCCCAGTCATCTGTTTGCGTGTTGTCAGTTATGTGTGACGGTGTATTTATGCCATGTGTCAGAGCCCCTAAGTTTGTCCCTATTTTTCTCATTGATGACTTTTTAGTTCTAGGTTTTACATTTAGGTCTTTGATCCACATTGAGTTTGTTTTCATATATGGTGTAAGATATGGGTCTTGTTTCATTCTTCTGAAAATGGATTTCCAGTTTTGCTAGCACCATTTGTTGACTTTTACACCACTTTTAAAAATAAAAATAAATGTAAAAAACTCATAATGAACAAAATAGCAAAATTCTAAATAAACACAGAGTCTGGCCCTGTGTTTACACAACACACCTCTCACCCTAGTCCCAGTCCTGATCCTGTATCTTGGTTTTAGTGGTGATCATACTATCTTTTAATTCTATTTTGCCACAAACGTTTTGACGCTCCCTCTTATCTCGATGTAAAAATTAATCAAGTTTTCACTTAAAATCTATGCACTGGGCTTATGAAGTTACATTGTAATTTTAAAATAAAAAAAAACAATTAAAAAAAAAAAGATAGAAGAGTTATAAAAGAAAAACCATTGTGCCTTTAGTACAGGCCCTGAAGCCCTCAGCTTGGCAGGAGAGGCCCTTCAGAGTGTGGTTCCAATCTAGGCAGCTCCTACCTCCACAGCAGCCAGGAGAGAGGAGAAGGGAGCTTCAAATCTTCAGGCTTTTACTCTCCTTGAAATGCCCTTCCTCTTTCTCCTTGACAAAGTCCCATCATTCAAGACTCTGGGCCAAAGCCTCCTGACTGTGAAGCCTTCAATGACCCCATGACAGTGTTTCAGAAAAATGTGTTTCAAAGTGGCACCATTCCTTTGTGCCAGTCAGCGTTTCACCAGAGACACAGAATTGGTTGGATTTATATTTTTAAGACATTTGTTGCAAAGAATTGACTTATGCACTTGGAGGGGCTGAAAAGGCAAATCTGAATCCATAGGCAAGCCATCAAAAGGGCAAACAAACTATGAGGAACGGAGGCTGGAAGTCTCCGGCTGATGTTACATTCCACAAGCAGAGAATCTTCTTCAGGGAAATCTTGGTTCTGTTCTTAAGTACTTTCAACTGATTGCACCAGGCCAACACAGAAAATTTCCTCTATTTAAAGGATTATAGTCCACTGACTGTAGATGTTGATCACATCGACGAAACACCATCACAGCAACACTTAGATGAGTGTTAGAATAATTAAGGATATAGCCAGCCAAGTTGACCCATGAAACTGACCATCACACATTATTACAGCACTGGGTACACTAAAATCAAACCAAACCAGTAGCCATCAAATCAATTCTCACAGTGACCCTGTAAGGACACAGTAGAACTGCCCCCAGAGGGTTTCCAAGGCTATAAATCTTTACAGAAGCCAATAGCCACATCCTTCTCCTGAGAAAGAGCTGAAGCTTTAACTGCTGTGCCACCAGGTCTCCCTTGGTGCCTTGTTGTTGTTGTTAAGTGGCGTTGAGTTGGTGCTGATTCACAGCGATCCTGTACAGGGCTTCCAAGGAGCGGCTGGCGGATTTGAACCATCAACCTTGTGGTTAGCAGTGCAGAGTTTATCCTATGGATCATCTGTTGTTGTTGTTCTAAGTGCCTTTGAGTCAGTTCCGACTCATATCAACCCTGTATAGGATTTCCAAGGAGCAACTTGTGGGTTTGAACTGCCGACCTTGTGGTTCACAGTCCAGTGCTGCTCCAATAGCACCACACCAGGAGTCCTAGGTTACTTCTAATTAGCACCCTGACCTTACAGCAAAAAAAAAAAACAAAAACGTGAGGGACTCAGAGTATAAACTGTAGCCACTTTCTGATCCCAGAGCTTGGCACAGCGTCAGACACACAGTAAAACTCAATGAAGAGCCCAGCAAATGCAAGGAACAGTTAGTCCCAAAACGTAACAAACATGAATTTCTAGAATCTTGTTGCTAGAAGGGCCTCAGTGGTAATCTAATCTGGTAGTTCTCCAAATCTGCTCCTTGGAACCCTGAGAAACTACAAGGGAGCTGATCAGGTGGAGTGCCAATTCTCCTCAGAAACCAGAGTATTGTGAGGTGTAATACTTTGAACTTCCTTATTCGATTGCATTTTAAAAAGTTTTTCCAGTACCCTTATCCCTATTTACCTGGGTGACAA